TTCTGTTATTGTTTTTTTACCGAGGGGTTTTTTCTCCTGTAAAATTAATCCAGTCATTTTTAAATTTTCGAGTGGAGTATTTTTTTCACCCCTCGCTAATCATTTTTCTTAAGGGACTACTAATCCAAAAACTATGAATTGCACTTTGTACTGATTTTGCCTATCTCGTCTAAAATTCGCATGTAAATTTATTTTTACTTGCTTTTATGGGGCCCCGACTGGTCTTTAATAAAAAATTATTATTATTTCACTCGGTCCGATTCGGCGTTATTGTCAGTGATGGTCCGTACACGAACAGTCGCCCTGTCTAGTTAACTAAAGGACTGAATAGAAAGTTGAGGAGGCAAAATAAAAAAGGAAGATATTCAAGGAAAATGAGTCACCAGTACACATCAAGGAGTTTTGTCGTAAACGAAATGCGGTCAAAAATGCATCCGTCAGGCAAGGAAGGACTGTGAGTCCAGAATTATCTACCAGGCTGAACAGAAGCGCAAGATCTTATTCCGCTGTATCAGCGGCCGACTAAAAACAAGAACCCGGTCGCCGTACTAAAGGATGGTAATGGTGTAGAAATCAATCAAAATGGCGAGAAAGCCGAACACTTGGACAGTCCTTTGCGTCGGTATTCACTGTAAATCGGAGTTTCAGGATCTCAATATTAACAATGCAGCTGTGACCGTCGGTCTCAGGCTCGAATCTATACACTCTGCGATATTGGTCGTGCAAAGACGGTTGCGAAATATAAAAGTAGCAAAGTCATTGGGTCCGGACAACATACCGGTCAAATTCTTGAGAGACTTGCTAAACGAACTCACCAAAACACTAGCGCACAAATTCCATTCGCATTCGAATTAGCGAGGCTGTTGTCTGAATGGAAAACGAAAAATATCTGCCCTATACGCAACGATGGGGCTCGAACCAATGCTAACAATTACCGGCATGTCAGTCTTACCGCCATTTTCTATAAAATAATGAAAACCATATCTCAAAAAGAAGCAATGATGTTCCTGGAGGAGAAACAATTACTTTCGGGGCTTCAGCACGACTCCCGACAGAACCACTCATCCCTTTCCGGTTTATCACTGTCGACTCCGCGGTGGACTCTTGTACTGGACGAGGGTGGTAGGGTCGATGTCATCTACGCGGATTTCAATAGGGCATTGGAGAGCTTCCGAGAAAAATGCCTAATCTATAAATTGTGTGAAATTGGAATAGGTGGAAAGCTTCTAACACGGATCACAGAGTTTTTTACAGGGAGATCACAAACCTTGTGCATCGAAGCCACCCCCTACCCTATTCTAGTTGGTGTCCCCAGAGCTCAGTCTTACGGCTGTTGCTCCTGCCAGTCTACATCAACGACTGTGTCAACCGACTGGGAATCGGCGCCGTCATAGTTACTGACGATGGTAAACTGCGGGGAGCCATTATATCTAACGTAGAAAGGCGCGCGGTTCAGGAGAGTTTTGAATCGGTTTTTTGAGGAATAAGTAGCAATGGTTCCAGAACTATTCGTACACGGATAGTCAGGAATGAACGTTAGACGAAGAATCTAAAATTGCAGGTTTTTAATTTCCTCAGAAATTAACGTCCAGGTGGAGGGGACTTTTTGCGTGTGCAAATCAAGATAATCCAAGGACTGAAGAGACCACCGTGACCAAACGTGAGGGTGACAGTACCGGTTTGTAATGAGCACGTCTGTAAAGAGCACTTATTTTATGTCTTTAATTGCGCGTCCACTGTGTAGTGTCCAGCGGAAGGGGTTTGAGTACGTTAGAAGCATCGTTCGTGACTGTATATGGTCTTCTCTTCTTCACGACTCGTGGGTTACTTAAGTAACCCTCATTCATCATTCAACACGCAATCTCAAACGTATCTAACTTGGAAAGCTCGTGGAAATATGGTAGGTAGTTTTGTGGGACGAAAGTTTATTTCAACTGAGTATGTAGTCGTATGTAGATGCTGGTTGAATAAGTAACGAGTTAACAACAAGAAGGACAGAACAGTACAGAAGCGTGTGTACAAGTACAGGATAGTACGAATAGCATCTAAAGTATGGACTATGGTAAGGGGAGAATAGCAAAGGTAAACGACAAAACGATTGTAGAACAAAACACGGACTGGGCTTGTTGGACAAGCAGGTCAGTGAGTTTGGCCAAGTCTTTCTCTGCAAGTAGTTGTCACCCGTTGATTTATACAGTAACGGGTCATTCTGCTCTATTTGGCTATCACAGTTGCAATACTCTGTCCAGAATTTGCATTTAACAACGTGTCTGTGATTTTAAATGCTACTTTCGACTTTAACTGAACCCATTTCCGAGAAACTTGAAATATGTAGCCGCAGAACGTGTGTTAATTGATATTTTGCTGATAGTCTAAACTAATCTAATCTAATCGTCATTGATGGCGGCTCTAAGTCCAAATCGACTTTTCATTTCGTTTTGTGGACGATTGCTTCTAGCGTTATTGGTTAGCCAGAAGTTCTAGTCAGAGCTCACCGGTTGACTAGGAACCCATTTCGTCCGTGCCTCACCGACACGTCATCTTTGTGTGATTTAGTGGAAAGAAGATCTCATATTATTCCCACTTTTGAAAGTAGACTTCCCCACTCACCTCTCCGATACGCCAATTTAGACTTTTCGGATTCTACCGACGGCAAGTTAGCCCCCATTAGAAGGTAGGCAAATTTCGCCATGTGTTGATTCCACAATGGGTCGTGACCCTTTTAGGTAGACTGTTTAGTAAGTCGGTGCGCAGACACGCCAAAGTACTGCAGATGCCTGGCCTGCAGCTTATCCACTAGACCCGGGATTCTAGTTATTATACAGTTAGCTCTTGTTAAATAACGTCCTATCCGTTGCCTGGTAACGCGCCCGGTAACCAGCAGCTATTATTACAGAGAGTTCTCGGCTTTCCGCCATTTCTTTTATTCAGGCAAGTAAGGGTTGTTGCGTACAATTTCTTTGCGTTTCTGATCATAGTTGCCTAACTATTACGCACTCAACACTTTGCACCTGTCACCTGTATTTATCTCCACTTTCCTCCGTCGAGCGGTTTGATCCTCACCGTTAGAAGTGGTTAAGTTGAACATACAGTGCGTGACCTAACTCATGATATGTGTCGAAATTTACGAATGATTGCCAATCACTCGCAAACTGACACCATTTCATGAGTCAAATGTCTATGTTAATTATGTACAAATTTAAAAGAATTAAAAACATAAAGGAAATGTCATAGGCGGTGTTGCGTTGTTTAGGACTGTCGATTTATTTTGAAAAGCGCAATATCCCGAAGACGTCAGAAATGGCTCTAATCAAGTAAACTTCGTTTTTGATGTATAGAATTATTCCCATACCAAACACGTAGTAAATATGAAAGTAGACATAAAATCACGTCTAATAACAGTGTTTCAGTGAAGTTTAGATCTAAATATCGTTAACTAAGTAGTGCGACATCATATATGACAGTTTGTCAACTGCCTGCATTCGGGGTGTAGATTCCAAAACAGTTTTCTATTGGTTCATAATTTCGTTAACGATTTGAAGTTAAATGAGATAGGGTTCAATAAGAGAAGCTGGGTTTTGCTTGATTTCGCCGATGGGGACGTCGTAGAATCAAAAGTCCTCATAAGGTGACATGCCATGAGGCCGGTCGATGCCTAATAAATTTAAATAGAACTGACAGGCGTGATCGTAAACATATCATTTTGTGTGTAAAGAGTGAACGTTTCTTCCGTTAGGTTAATTTTTACTTTTCCTTCGTTTTGGATTACGTTGGGTTTCAGAACGGCCTCGAAATATTGCTGATTACTTCATAATTTTCAGTGTTTTAACCTGATCGACCATAACGACAGATTCTGAATTAGCTGTCTGTTGAGAACTTTAAAATAAGATTGTTCTTGAAGGCATTTACCAAATTATTGAGTATTCAGGCGCTCCTTTTCACGAAGCTGGTCGTTTGAGTCAAATTTGAAGACTCATTCAAACATCAAACTTCATTTCCGAGAAAAATGACTGTCCACAACGAAAGGCACCAACGAATATGACTTGGATCAATAAGAAAACTTTCCTTAATAAATTACCTCTTTAGGAAGTGCTTTATTACTGCACTCCGTCGACGGATCTCTGTGTACTTTGCATTTTTACACGGCGAGGGCAAGTAAAAATTTGACACTTTTGGTCGTTTCTTTCGCGTTCCTGAGAATTACTAATATTTTTCTACCGTGAACGAAGAACACGTCGTCTTCTATACATTGAGGCCATTTCCACTCTTTTTGCTCGCATTTGGACTCCGTTCTTCCATTATGAATGCACGACAGAGCGTCCATATAAATACTGATATTTTGCTGAAACTATTAGTGTTTTGCTCGTTCTGTTTCTGAATGAGGTATGCACAGAAGCTAACCTACACGAAAAGTAGTGTGTAGTAGGGGTGTCAGCGGTGGGTTCACGTGATGGTCGTAGTGGTCGCTCACTTGCTTGCAGGTGAGACTACGCCTAGCGTCCATTTGCTGGCACCCAACTCTCACCTGTGGCTCCACGTAGCTGGGCTCTGCTCAGCGGCCACAACCGGGGCAACCGTCTCGACCGGCGGGCTAAACCAGGTGAGGGCGCTGTGCGCTTGTGCCGCGTGCACAGTGTACTGCGGACTCCGCTGGATGGATGGTCGGATGAAACACTGCGCCGGCATCGTCGAGACGAGGCTCTTCCTGGTACGCCGTTGGATAACTGCTGCCGGGACGGGTCTCCGCATTGCCTTCGCTGAGACGCGCCCACCCTCGCCGACGGAGACCGCGGACTCACGGCATATGCGGTCGTTCTCCACTACGAACATAAAAGTCGTGGCCCCATAGTGGGATCGGTCGCGCCAACCAGGCACATGGGCAGCCCGATTCAGGGGCGGCACTGCCTGCCCCCATGAGGGGAAGGGCCTAGAAAAGGTGGCCTAAACATTGCTGGGTGCCGCGCCGTCTCCAGGCTAGCCAGGGCCGCAGACGTCTAATCATGGTCGAAACAATCAAAATCGAAACAACAACAATACCAATAACAACAACAACCATACTCATTCTCCTCATCCTACCTCTTCTACTTCTTCCTCTGCCTATTCTTCTGCCTATTCTTCTCCTTCGTCACATTCTTCTCCATCTCCCTCCCGTCGCCCCACTCGTCGTCACCAGACTGGCAGGGTGAGTCCGCTCACTCTGGCAGCCTGGAATGTTCGTTCCCTTTTAGACAATCCGAGAAGCAATCGACCGGAAAGGAGGACAGCGTTAGTGGCACGAGAACTGGCGCGCTACAAGGTGGACATCGCCGCACTCAGCGAGACCCGTTTCTCCGAACAAGGCCAACTGGAAGAGGTGGGAGCCGGTTACATCTTCTACTGGAGTGGTCGACCCAGGGCAGAGCGACGAGACGCGGGTGTCGCCTTCGCTATTCGGAACGACATCGTGGGACGACTGTCCTGTATGCCGCAGGACATCAACGATCGCCTGATGAGCCTCCGTCTGCCTCTCCGGCGGGGGGGGGGCAATTCGCCACCATCATCAGCACCTACGCTCCGACCATGACCAACCCCGACGCCGTCAGAGACAAATTCTACGAGGACCTGCACGCCCTCTTGGCGACTGTGCCGAAGGCGGACATGTTGGTTGTCCTTGGCGACTTCAACGCCCGCGTCGGCACAGACCATACTGCCTGGAGAGGAGTGCTGGGTCCCCACGGTCTCCGCGGCTCAAACGACAATGGTCTGCTGCTCCGCACCTGCGCAGAACACTGCCTCATCCTGACGAACACGTTCTTCTGTCTGCCGGAGCGAGAGAAGGCCACTTGGAGGCATCCTCGGTCGCGTCAGTGGCACCTGCTGGACTATGTCCTCGTCCGAAGGAGAGATCAGCGGGACGTGCTGGTGACGAAGGCGATCGCGGGTGCTGACGGGTGAACCGACCATCGCCTCGTCATCTCGAAGATGCGTATTCGCCTACAGCCTCGCAGGAGACCTCAAGGTAAGCGACCCCCAGGTAAGCTGAATGTTGCCTTGTTGTCCTTGCCCGCTCACCATCTCCATTTCAGCAATGAGCTAGCTCAACGGCTAGACAACCTCCCCATCGCCGATGCCGCCGCTGCCGAAAACTCCTCCGTGGAGAACCGCTGGTGTCAACTGCGAGACACGGTCCAGGCGACGGCGCTCACCGTCCTCGGTCGTGCTCCCCGCCAACACCAGGACTGGTTCGATGACAACGACGCCGTCATCAGAAATCTGCTTGCTGAGAAGAACCGCTTACACAAAGCCTACGTCGATCACCCCACTGACGACAACAAAGCTGCCTTCTACCGCAGTCGCCGACAGCTTCAGCAACGACTGCGCGAGATGCAGGACGCCTGGACTGCTCGCAAAGCTGAGGAGATCCAAGGCTACGCGGACCGCAACGAATGGAAGAACTTCTTCTCTGCGATCAAAGCTGTCTAAGGTCCGCCGACGAAGGGCACCGCTCCTCTCCTCAGCGCCGACGGCAGCACTCTCCTGACTGAGAAGACGCAAATCCTTCAGCGATGGGCCGAGCATTTCCGAGGTGTCCTAAACCGCCCTTCCGCCATCTCCGACGCCGCCATCGCGCGTTTGCCGCAAGTCGAGACCAACGCGGACCTCGACCTCCCGCCATCTCTCCAGGAAACCATCAGAGCCGTGCAGCAGCTCTCCAGCGGGAAAGCACCCGGATCGGACGCAATCCCTGCTGAGGTCTACAAGCACGGAGGTCCCCTACTGATGGATCACCTGACTGCGCCCTTCCAGGAGATGTGGCGTCAAGGTGAAGTCCCGCAAGATTTCAAGGACGCAACAATCGTGCACCTATACAAGCGAAAAGGGAATCGCCAAGTCTGCGACAATCACCGTGGCATCTCCTTGCTTAACATCGGCGGGAAGATCTTCGCTCGCATCCTTCTCAACCGCCTCAATAACCACCTGGAACAGGGCCTTCTGCCGGAAAGCCAGTGCGGCTTCCGTCGTCATCGTGGGACCACGGATATGATCTTCGCCGCCCGTCAACTTCAGGAGAAGTGTCAGGAGATTCGGACCCACCTGTACTCTACCTTCGTGGACCTGACGAAAGCCTTCGACACGGTGAATCGTGAAGGACTGTTTAAGATCATGCAGAAATTCGGCTGTCCAGAGCGATTCACTCAGATGGTGCGTCAGCTGCACGACGGTATGATGGCGCGAGTCACGGACAACGGAGCTGTCTCAGAGGCATTCGCAGTGACTAACGGAGGGAAGCAGGGATGCGTGCTGGCACCAACCCTCTTCAGCCTTATGTTCTCTGCCATGCTGATGGACGCCTACCGCGACGAACGCCCCGGGATTCGCATCGCCTACAGGACGGACGGTCACCTGCTGAATCAACGGCGGATGCACTTCCAATCGCGCGTATACACAACAACCGTTCACAAACTCCTCTTCGCCGACGGCTGCGCCCTGATCACTACCTCAGAAGAGGAGATGCAACGCAGCATGGACCTGTTCTCCGCCGCCTGCGAGAACTTCGGCCTGGTCATTAACACGCAGAAGACGGTGGTGATGCACCAACCGCCACCCAACTCAGCCACAGCCCCCAACGCGCCGCAAATCAGCGTGAATGGGACCCTAATGCAAGTGGTGGAGAACTTCCCGTACCTGGGCAGTACTCTCTCCCGCACCACCAAGATTGATGACGAAGTCGCCAACAGGATCTCGAAAGCCAGTCAAGCCTTCGGTCGTCTCCAAAGCACAGTTTGGAATCGTCACGGTCTTCAACTGAACACGAAGCTGAAGATGTACAAGGCCGTTATCCTGTCGACGCTACTGTACGGAGCAGAGACCTGGACGGTGTACACGAGGCAGGCACGCCGTCTGAACCACTTCCACCTCAGTTGTCTTCGTCGCATCCTGCGGCTGAACTGGCAGGATCGCATCCCCCACACTGATGTGCTGGAACGAACGGGAATGCTCAGCATCCACTCCATGTTGAGACAAATGCAGCTGCGCTGGAGCGGCCACCTGGTGCGCATGGACGACGAGCGGCTACCCAAACGACTCTTCTACGGAGACGTCGCGACGGGTTCTCGTCGTCAAGGAGACCCAATTCGTCGATACAAGGATACCCTGAACTCCTCCCTGAAGCTACTGCAAATCAACCCGACCAACTGGGAAGAGCTCGCCTGCGATCGTCCGGCATGGAGGAGAACAGTGAAGACGGGCACTGCTCTCCACGAAGCCAACCGCATCGCCGCCGCCAAAGCGAAACGCGAAGCCCGCAAATCCCAACTGCGCCTAGTCAGCAACGCTGCCGCACAACTGCTTCCAACGTGTCCTCGATGTAAGCGGACATTCAGGGCTCGAATCGGCCTTGTTGGACATCTTCGGATCAACTGTACCTCTCGAACTGCACCAAACTTCATCCCCCCGCCCGCGTCATCCTCGTCCTCTCTGCCGCCGAATAACTCTGTGAATTCTTCTGCACCACCACTTCCATCCTCCTGCTCCTGCTCCTCCTCCTCCTCCTCCTCCTCCTCCTCCTCCTCCTCCTTTGCCTCCTCTGCCTCCTCTGCCTCCTCTGTCTCCTCTGCCTCCTCTGCCTCCTCTGTCTCCTCTGCCTCCTCCTCCTCCTCCTTCTCCTCCTCCTCCACCACCACCACCACCACTGCCCCAACGGCGGCCGCTCAGGCAGCCGTCTCGCACATCTCCGACCGCGACACAACAACCGGCACCACCCCCGCCTCTCCTGAATCCAGCAATGAGAATCAGGACTACACCTGCCCTCACTGCGATCGCACCTTTACCTCACGTATCGTCATGGTCGGTCACTGGCGAATCCATCGCACAGAGACCGGCGAACCAGTGCCTGAAGCACCAACCTACACCCACCGCACTCGCCTCCACTGCCCACACTGCCCTCGCACCTTCACGCATCGCATGGGTCTATTCGGTCACATGCGCATCCACGAGAGCGGAATCGACCACAATTCCGACACACCAACCACGCCCATCATGCCCAGCACCACCCTCGCACCGTCCATCTGCGCCACCACCAACGCCTCCTCTGTAGCTGATTCTGACGCCGCCGACTTCACGTGCCCACACTGTCAACGCACATTCACCTCACGCATCGGCCTGGTCGGTCACTTGCGAATCCATCGCACAGAGACCGGAGAACCAGTGCATGGAGCACCAACCTACACCCACCAAGCTCGTCTCAACTGCCCACACTGTCCTCGCACTTTCAGGCACCGCATGGGCCTATTCGGCCACATACGCATCCACGACGACCTGCGGTAGACAACCGCCGGTTACACCACACATCCACACACTCCCTACCCTCCTCCACCATCACCAACACACATCAACACTTACCCACCGCATGCACCAACTGCCACCTTCCACGCAAGTGGGAAGTGTGCATCTCGACTCGGTTCTCACGCGGCTTCGGCTGTACGGGTGATTTGAGTCCGAGGCTATCCCGACACTTCAAGTGTCGTGGATAGGAAGGTTACTGATTGATGCCCGCTCTCGGTTCACACAGTTCGTCGCGTTGTGTGTGTTTGCTGTGTGGAGTGGCAGACTGGTGGGCTGGGAACGGGCTGTAGCAGCACCTTCCACGGCCCTCTCACGCAATTGAGCGACACGCCGTTCAACCCCCGTTGTGTGAAATCCTGGTGTTTGTGTGTGTATGGGGGGCCAGGTCGTGCTGTGGCGCGCGAAGTCACGGTCAGTCGACCGTGGCAGCCACCGCGCCCATCCACCACTCCAGTTTGCCGACCGGCTCGGACAGCGGCTGGGGTGTGGGGATGGGAAGGGGGAGTGAGGTCGACGACTCAGCGCACTTTTTCCTCACTATAATCAATCTGACGCGCTTGAAGCTATCACGGTGCGCTAAAAGCCGTGGCTTGGAAGGTTGCCAACTGACGGGGTACCTTGGACCTCCTCTGCATTTATCTGGATATTCTTAAGTAATTAATGCCTGTTTTTTACTTGAGTCCGTTTTAAAAGGCGCCTTTCTATATAAGGTAAAATTTTTTCCCAGTTTGTTTGACAGTCTGGCAAAATAGTCGTATTTTGTAAAAATCCATTGTAGTGAATCCTTTCCCTACTACCGCTTTCTAGTTTTCATAGTAAAAAAAAACAGTAATACTTGCTACTCAGTGCGCGTTTCCGTTTTGATCCCTCTTCTGTAACGGAAAAACTTTTTTTTGTCTGTAATGCCCCACAGAGCACGTGCTAAAAGGCGAAAGCTTGCGGCCTCCCCACCGTCTCTGGGTGCTAAAATCGTGACTGAAGACATGGCAGACGCCAGCGTATGTTCTTCGCCGTCTGCAGATCTGATTAGCTCACAAATCCCTTTAGTACATGTAGAACCTCTCGACCCTTCAGTCGTCCAAAAATACGCCTCTGCTAGTCGTAGCAGGCCATCAGCCGGCGAAATAATCGATCAGCTGATTTATCAAGACATAAACAGCACTTCTGAAAAAGTGCTTGAACAAGTTTTTAATCTTATTGGGGTAATAAGTTCGGAAACTGAGGAACGAATTAAACGCAAGCATAATTTCGTACTGCGAAACATTCCGAGCCACTTATCTGCTATGGAGGGAGCGCATGTGTTCCTACAAAGTTGTGGCTTGAGTTTTAGTGTCGCACAAGCTAAGCGACTTCGCTCGCTTAGTCGTAATGCGCCGATACTAGTTACCCTTTTCTCCATGATAGAAGTCGATTTTATCTTGTCGAGTAGGGAGATGACTAGAGACTTCTGCCGTAAATGGCGCTGCTCC